GCCTCCGCCTCCCCCCAACCCCCCCGCCCCGCCGACACACAAGCACCGTGACCCTCAGGCAGCCCCTCCCAGGGGCCATGCCGTCCGCCAAGAGCCCCGAGACCCTGCCACGCTGGGGACACTCCCTCCTTCCTGAACGTGCTGGGCCTCATCTCCTGTCCCATCTGTCCTCTCCACAAAGAGGGAACCCTGGGGACGGGGCGGGGAGCAGGCACTGGAGAGAAACCTCCTGGACGAAGGGACAGGGACAAGGTCCCTGTGAGCGCCGACGGGGCCTGTGTGCCCCCGGGACGGCCGCGAACACCACGTCTGTCACTGCCACACTGGACAGACAGTAAACCCCAGTTATCTATCTGTCCTCAAAGTGGGGTCACCGGGAGCCGGTCAGGAACCAGTCCTGCGTCTTGGCACGTGACTCATATGCCTGCGGATCTCAGTGGCCTGTTCTCGGCCCACCTTCTTCGGTGACACTTGTGACCAACACACCAGGTGGCGGTCCACAGCTCCTGACGCGGAGCTGCTCGGCCAGCCCTGCTGTCGGGGTCTGTGTGATTCTGCTGGACTCGCGCGGGCCGCGTTCATGGAAGTGACCAAGTACCCACCTCCGCTCGCCACTCGCGACCCTGCCTCCCCTCTGCGCTGCATGCCCGAGGCGGCTCCAGATGGCCTCCTCGGAGGTGCGCCGGGGATGTGTGGTCTAGAGCCCCCATGCAGCCCCCCAACGGCAGGCTTACCTTTCCACAGGGTGAGGGCCAGCAGCTGGTGCAGCCGGGGGTGGCCCAGCTTCCCCGAGCCGCCGCTGGACCACTTCAGGGCTCTGGACACGAAGGCCACGCGCTCCGGGGAACTGGGGTCCATCAGGCTGAACAGTTTAGCCAGATTTTCTAAAACGACACGGCAGACCCTTATCCGCAGGGCAGGCAGCCTGCAGCTCTCCCTTCAAAGGAAGGCAGACGAGCCACCAGCAGTGTGTCCTGCGGCCCCCCACAGGGCCGGTGCCACCCAGGGCCGCCCCGTGCACCCCCCGCAGAGCCAGCAGCCGCATGCCCCCTCCACGGCACGCAGGGCAGCCCGCAGCCAGGTCTCTGGGACGGCTCAGCACGGGTTCCCGGGTCCGTGTGCGGGGCAGCGCTACGTGAAAGACCGGCCTTGAAACTGTCCCACAGGCAGAGGGACCCTGTGCGCCTCAGAAAGCCTCACCCAACAGCTCGTCGGCCACCTCCACCTCCGCCTTCTCCAGCGACTCCAAGACCAGCATGGACAAGTCTGCAGCACTGTTTTGCTACAAAACGTGGGAACAGACAAGAACCACAGGGCTGGGGGCGCAGCGGTGTGCGAAGTGAGGGGCCGCGGGGCGGACAGTCGTGGGGGAGCAGCGCTGAGACCAGGGCGCTCGGCAGTGCTGCTGGGGAACGGACCCCGGCCTGGGCGCGCCGGCCGGCGCCGGAGCCCGCGTGTGGACCCCGGGCTCGAGGACACTCGCCCAGCTGCGGGAAGCAGGGCCAGCGCCAAGGACAGCTCAAGGTCGTGCTCAGGCCTCTCCCACAGGCCTCGAGCCGAGACACCTGGGGACACCCGCGGCTTACCTGGCCGTGGCCGAAGAAGAGCAGCGCCCCTGAGCACATGAGCTCCCGGGCCTCCGCGTGCCTGCTCTGCGACGTGTACCTGCGGGGGGCGGGGAGCCCGTTAGGCCAGCTGCTCGCCCCCCAGAGAGCCCCATGCCCCCTCCCGCCGCCCCGCCCGGCACCAAGGACAGGAAACTGCTGCGCGCGAGGCTGGAAAGAGGCCAGCGGTTTCCGGGGCTGCGGCCGTCAGGGCTCCGCGGGCGCCGCGTGTGCGCGCGCACACGCACCCTCTCCCGCTCGTCCTGCACGCTCCCTGGCGCCACGGCGTTCGATCTGAACAAGCTCGCGGGGGCGCACGGCTTCACGCGGCCTCCTGCGCGGGCACGCGGGGCTGCAGGCGTTTACCCTGAGTGACAACCACACCCCCCGTCTCTGCTTATTCGTGACACCATGCTAGACTCTGCAGAAGCAGTGACAGATGACTTCTCAGAACACCGGATGGAGGAAACAGGTCCCTGCAAGGCAGACTAAGCGACCCTGGGTGTGAGACAGCCTGTGGCCCCCCCCCAGAGCACAGGCGCCCAGGTGGGGGAGGGGAACGGGACCGTCCCCTGCGCACGCACCACCCAGGGCTTCCCGCCAGTCCCTCCGCAGTGAGTCAGAACTGCCTGCTGCAGGTGGAGAAAAGCTGAAAACTACAAAAAAGTGAAAGGCACCTGTGGAAAGTGAACATGCTTCTTTTTGGGCTGGGAGGGCACGTGGGTCCTGGGTGACCGAGCAGGGAGGAGCTGTCCCCAAGGCCTCAGGGGGCTGAGCACGGCCAGAGCAAGCAGCCTCCAGCCTGGAGTCACCCAGCTGCACAGCCCTAGGCACAGGCAGGGGCGTCGTCACCCACACAGTGGCCTGCGCGGTTCCTCCTTTGTTTTGCCCTTATTTGAAAACAGAGCGTCACATGGAGTGAGACGCCCCTTTGTGTCTCCCCATAACTACAACTAGTCACTCGCCCCTAACCCAGCGAAAGTTGCCTGCTCAACACGCTGGGGCGTGGGACCCAGGCGGCCCCGACACAGTAGAGCGCCCAGCACCCTGACACCCAGGCGGCGACCCCCCTCCCACCGCGGGCCCGGAGCCTCGTGTGCGCAGGTAAAACGAACACTGGGCCAGAGCGCCATCTGCTGGAAAACGATGGAAGGACCTCTAATCACCACCTGCTGGACCTCTCAAGTCCAACTTAACCTGGAGAAAAGTGCCGGCTCCTTCCAACCGCAGCAGCAGAGGACGACCCGCCAGCACCGTGAGCAACCAGGCAGCTCGGCAACCTCCAGAAACCCAGCTCAAAGTCACGGGGGGCCGCGCTCTAAGTGACGGAATTCCCAGCAGCAATCTCGACGGAGCTCAAGGGGACACGAGAAAGCTCAGGAGTAAACTTGATGAACAGGAGAAGTAAACTCCACCAGAGGACAGACGGACCTGGGGTGCGGACCTGGGTGGGGACAAGGAAAGCTCGAGAAAGCACTGCAGACGGAGCAGACGGTGGGACGGGGCAGCGCGCGCACACGCGGAAGCCTGGACACGGCTCGCGAGGAAGGGGACTATCTGCTGAGCCGAGGGATCCACAAGGGCCACCCGCCTCCCCCGGGAAGGGCGTCAGAGGACAGCGCGGATCCCGGAAGAGACGGGGAAGGGAGCAGAGCCCGCTCAGAGAAGCGATCGGTGGGACCGCCCCAAACCTGGGGACGGGACTGGACGTCCAGGTCCAACGCGCGAACAGAAGACCTAGTTATCTCAACGCGAAAAGGCCTTCTCCAAGACGCCACACTCAAGCGACCAGAAGTGAGTGACAGAGCTCTCGAGGTGGCTGGGGAAAGGCAGTGCCCGACGCGGGAAAGCCCAGCGGCTGTCATCGGCTTTCTCAGCAGACACTGCCCGGCTGAGAAGACGACGTCCGGCAAAGCCACCCTTCAGATGTGAAGAAGGAGGCTTTCCCTCGAGGGGAGGCACCACGAGGCCCGTGCTAGAAGGAGCTGAAAGGAGCTCGTCGACTGAAAACAAAAAGTCAAAAAAGTAAACGACGCTTTACGGGGACAGTTTTTTTTTACGGGGACAGACAGGCAGACAGAAACAGAGGATTACGACTGTTTCAGAATAGGGTGTTAAACAATTAGAGCATAAAAATTTTAAGGGAAAAAAAACTACAGCCACCTTGTTTAGGTGACGAATACACAACGTGAAAGGGAGGAGGAAGGGGGTGGAGCTTGCAGACGAGCGACGCTGACAAAGGGCTGCGCTGTCTGCGAAACACGTAACACAAACCCCAGAGTAACCACAAAACAAACATCCAGAGCCCAGACGTAAAACAGAAGAAAAGAGGAAATGGAGAAAAACATCACAGAAAACCTCCGCCCTAACGCAGCGGACAAGACACGAGGGCAAAGAAACTCTGGGGACACGGAGCACCCAGAAAACAGAAGACGAGGTGGCCGTGCTCAGTCCTCACGGATCGGTCATCACCCCAAGTGTACACGGATGGCCTCACCCACCCAAAGGCACGGAACCAGCACCCAGCCATCTGCTGCCGCCAGGAGACGCGCCTCAGCTCCGAAGGCGAACGAAGGCTCGAGGCGAGGGTGGACGGCGACGCTCCAAGCCAAGGCCGCGCAGAGGACGGCCGCGCTTACACCCGACGCAACAGCTAACGAGAAGCAGACGTTTTATAATCCGAAAAGACGCCATCGGGAACGACATATATTAACACGCACGCGGCGCAGGAGCAGCAAACACATCGAGCCATCGTTAGCCGACCCGAAGGCAGACAGGGCGGCGCCGTGACGGCAGCAGACGACACCCCACGCACACCGCGGGGAACGAGGCACGACGCCACCGATTCACGACGAAGGAGCCGAAAACACTCAACGAAGTAAGGAGTCTCTTCAACAAATGGTGCCGGGGAAACCGGACAGACGCGTGAGGGGTGATCGAGGCTGCCGTCGACACCACACGCGCAAATTAACTCCAAACGGGTGAAAGACTTGAACACAGACCTGAAACAATAAAACGCACGGAAGGAAACGCAGGCGCTGGACTCGGTCTCAGTGGTGTTTTTGCGAATTTGACGCCAACAGCCAAGGAAACGAAAACAAACGAGTGAGACCACGTCCAACTAAAAGACCCTGCACGGCCGAGGAAACTACCAACGACCAACGACACGGAAGGACAACCGACCAACCGGCGGGGAGACGGTGTCTGCAAGGGATGTTCCGGAAAGGAGCCGACATCCAAAAAGTATAAAAATCTCACGCTCGACACCACCGGTCGTCAGGGAGACGTCAATCAAAACCACAGCGAGCTACTCCCCACGCCTGTCGCCTGTCGGAACGGCCGTCATCCACAAGACGGCGGACACGGTGAGGACGCGGAGCGAGGGCGCCCCCGTGCTCTGCCGGTGGGAGCGTACGCTGGTGCAGCCGCGGGAACGGCATGGAGGTGCCTCGAAAAATTCAAGCAGAGCTGCCACACGACCCGGCAGTCGCTCCCTGCGGCTGTGTGAAGAATATGAAAACCCTGACTCAAAACCACACGCAGCCCGGCGCTGACCGCAGCGCTGTTCACAACGGCCAAGGCACTGACACAGACCCGTGTCCGTCGACGGACCAGTGGGGAAGAGGACCTGGGACCCGCGTGCGGCGGAACACGCCTCGGCTAAGCGACACCCCACGAAGGCACGCAGGCTGGGCTCGGTCACTCCAAAGGCACGACCTGAAGTGGGAGGCACAGCCGTCCGAGTCCCAGCCGCTCCCTCCGGAGACGGCCATCGTAGCCACGGGCTGCAGAGCACGCACATTGTAAGGTTTTCCTTTAAAACATTTCTCCACTTAAGAGGCAAAACGAGGTTCTGGCCACAAGGGCCACATGGATCCCCGACACGGGTCTCGGAAAGGCCCCCAGCAGGAAGGTAAACACAGCACCGGCCCAGGAGGCCCCTCCAGCTGATGGTGGCGGCACTGGGCCACCCTGCAGATGGCCACTGAAGCGAACGGTGGGTGGTCTAACAGATTACTAGTAACGGACCACCTCCTCGTCCTGGAGAAGAAAGGTCTGACCACACAAGGCGGCCGCCCACCGCCTCCAGCACCATC